TAAAAAAAGAGAAAGGCTATATCTCATCATCATCCAGTAAACCATTGCTATCTTTACTGTGTTACATCGCGTTTACACTTACGACATCTATAATATGCATGTCTAAAAAAAAAACTCTCAACAAGGGAATGCTATATGAAAACATTTTCTCCACGGAACGTGTATGTCGCAAGTGTAAACTCGGTGTTATCTGTTCAACGAGTCGTAGCATTGTAGGCCTACTCACGCTGTGTGTTGTGAGTCGGGTTCAGGATTATGTTGTTAAATCTCTGGCTCAATCACGGCAACAGCTGGTCTTCAAAGCAAAAGGGAATAAATATTTTATAAAAATAAACTTCGAATATGTTGCGAGCGTCGGTGGTGTAACGGTTAGCATAGTTGCCTTCCAAGCAATTAGACCGGGTTCGACTCCCGGCTGACGCAATTATTTTTTAATACCAGTTATTTCTGTGGTGTTATTGATCACTTCCCTCCTCGCCCCCCCCCCCCCCCCCCCCCCGAATATATTTATCTCCATTTCATATAAATACTTAACTAAAACCTTTGTCTGACAACGATGCAAAATCCTTTACAACAATAATCTTCAAAATGCACAGGAAAAATAAATAAAATGTCTTCCTTTTATTGTTGAATTTAGTACTGTTTTAATTAAAATGTAATGATCTAACCTAATCAATAATTAAATTAAAAAATAGATACTCTTGCATTGTCTTCAGAGATTAATCTATTTGGAAAGTTTTGACGAAATCGCTGCATTGAGTTACAAACCAAAAGCAACAACAATAAATAAAAATCAAACAACAGATGTGAACTAAATAAAATCTTATAAAATTTCGTGTGCCCGAAAAAAAAAGCAGTCTGACATAAAGGTCACTGTGGCCGGAGAATCAGTGCATATTTCTTTGATATTTTCTTCTCGGTGCCAGATTCAGCGGCGGTGCTAGTCAAGACGATGTAGACTTGAAGCCTGTATAAAATAAAGTAGGAGTGAGCTCCCCTAAACCTTTTCGTTTAAGCACTTACAACAAGTAAGAGATTGGATCGTACTTTCAATGGAATCGAACTATAGATGTAGTAGATAATTTTGTGACAGAAAAGTTCTTAGAATGTGTTGGTTGAAGAGAAAATATGTACAATTATCCAATTCTGAAGGTTTTTTTTAGAAACCGGAAATATGCGAGGTACCGGTTTTGCTTACCATAAATCGCTAACGTGTTAAAGAAACTTACTTATAGGATTTAATACTTATGTTTTAGATTGCGTCCACCTAACTAAAACAGTGCTCAAGTTACCTATATTTGAGAAACCAGAAACAGAGTTTCTTCCAGGCATCTCGACGATGGAGGGGGGGGGGGGGGGAGCCCCCTCCACTCTCCCGAAAAAGTCTACCAACCCCCCCCCCCCTTTCTCGAACCGAAATATAATTTATATATAATATACTTTTATCAATGTCCACCCGACCACCCCGGAAATTTTAGTTTTATATATTTAGGTATCACTGGCCCAATTCAACGCTTGTGTAGATTATTTCCATTTAAACCGTAGCTCATATATCCATATAGTTCCCACCCAGCCCTTTTGTTTTATTAAGGGAGAATACCGCTTAATTTCCACCACGTACAAGCTACAGAGTAAGCACCCTTTGCGTATTTACGTAATGAATTATTAACAACAGCTATTCAAGGGACATAACTGTTAGTATTTTGAAAAATAGTATTTTTCAAAAGTATTTTGAAATATTAGTCCACCCACCCTCCCGAAAATTTCAAGTGCCCCCCTCCCCACCCCGGAGAAAAAAAGTCTGGAAGAAACACTGTCCTTAACCAAACTTTTAGAAGACAAATAAAAATAAGTTTTTTTAATCCGCTATAGATCTGATTAAGATACGATAAGTTATAGCTTATTTCAAGTAGTTGTTTTGAAATCAGGTCAAATTTTCGTAGGCCTACATCATCCGTCAACCTAATAATTGAGTTTAGAAAGCCAAAGCAATTATTTTTTAAGCCAAAAAAAAAAAAAAAAAAAAAAAATCTAGTTGGCCTATATCTAACTTGTCTAAAATGTCATACCTTCGCAAGATGTCATTGTTACTTAACATTTCAGAGTTGAATAACAGATTGTTAGAAATTAACTTTTTAAAAAAAAAAAGTGAATCTAAAGCTTAGAATTCAGCTTTAGAATATTAGATTGGCTTAGATCAACGTAGACTAGCAGTCGCACAAAACCGCACATTCACTGATATAATTAAAATCTTTGTTTTATCATATGGGCTTGTTTTTAAAAACGTGTTTCTAACTGTAATTTTATATAAATCTACACGCCGTACTGTTGAATGGAAAGGTGAAGGGGGAGGAGCCCTTCTGTGTCACCATGACCTTTGTAGGCTACTACGTCTGTGGCGTGTTTTTCAATGCCCGAATTTCCTCACGGTCTAAGTTGTACAGCTAGACATCTTGCGCCACATACAGAGGCGTAGCGACCCATCCTGGCGCCCGGGGACAAACTTTTCGATTTGCACCCCCATCAAGATTTCGATTTACACCCCCCCCCCCCTCAAACTTTTCGATTTGTACCCCCCTCCTCAAAATTTCGATTTGCACCCCCCTCAAACTTTTCGATTTGCACCCCCCTCAAACTTTCGATTTGCACCCCCCTCAACCCTCAATTTACTTTTCCAACCCATTTTGGCGCCCCCTAAGGTTGGCGCCCGGGGACATATGTCCGCCCCCCCCCCCCCCCCCGCTACTGGCCACATGCTTTCATGGGCGTCTGCATATGTTGTGTGTGTGTGTGTGTGTGTGTGATTGAATTGTGGCAAGCAGGGGGTTCGCAGGGGGTCGAAGGGGGGGGGGGAGGTGGCACTTTTCAACGTATCGTCATGGTCTCTAAGTCTTGCTACACAGCATTAGTGAGCGTGTGGCTTATTTATTTCGGAGACCAGGTCTAACAAAAGGTGGGCTACTACCTCCCCACTCCCTTCCTATCTAATCATCTACGCCGAAAAGAGGACAACCATGGGAGAAGGGGGGAGGGAGGTAAGGTGGTGGTTCTTCGATTTTTTTAAAAAAATATTGAATCCGGTGATATTTGGTACTTTTCATAGTGAGGTACCCAGGTAATATTGCACTTTGTTGATCAAGTCTATAGGCTACCTTCCTTATTATCTAATACTAAATTAACCTCGGTCCATTACCCTAATAAGAATCAGTAACAGAGTTTCTTCCAGGCATCTCTTCGGGGGGGGGGGGGGGGGGCTAAGCCCCCCGAATTTTTTTTACCGCCCCCCCCCCCCCGAACGAACTGAAATTTATATAATTTATATAGAAAATATATACTTTTAACAGTGTCCGCCCCCCCCCGAAGAAAGTTTACCGCCCCCCCCCCCGAAAATTTCAAGTGCCCCCCCCCCCCCCCGGAGAAAAATGTCTGGAAGAAACACTGATCAGTAAGGGGTCATCCATAATTTAATAGCGACTAGATTTAAGTTTCTAACATCACTTTTTTTAAATTCAAAAGTGTGACATCACACTATCGAAAGCCCCATCCCTCTTATCACACAAAGTCACAAAATTACGACCCCCTCTCACTAGGAATGTGACGTCATTAATGACCCCCCCCCCCCCACACCCATGTGATCTCGATCTTTTTTTATAAATAAATATAAAGCAGTAAGGTCTCTCGCAATATAAAGCAGCAAACATTAGGAAATTTACAGTTTCTAAAGAATCGATAGCGATTGCATAATTCAAATGGTCAACAGCTTCCTGCATACATTTTCTACTTTGATAACGCAAACAGAAAGCGTCTGATTTATAAATAGCGCACCGTCACGTGATACGCAAGTCGGGGTCATCCGATTGTGTGTCGGTCTCCCTACTTTTCTCGAGTCTGTGTGTTATGTTGAATGTTGGCCTATAGCCGCTATGGTATTGCGCTAGAAATTATTGACACGACTGAGTAAAACCGTGTTCTCCCCTGCTAGTGTGTTTGTGTGTGTATGGATAATAATAAAGTGTGTCGTTGGTAACAAGAGAAAAATGCGTATTACTTTTTAATTATTTTTTTTTTTTGCGCAGATTGTTTTGCTTGGTGGCTCTACGAAACGCCCACATTTTCCCTACACCCCACCCCTCTCCCTGCGCTATGTATCCCGGTATATTGGTATAGGTGTCAGGTTGCGGATGGATGTAAACGTAATTATTGTGTGCAGTGTGTTTGTTTAGTTTTTATTGTTTTGGACGCGTGTGTTAAATAAAATTTCTATCTTGTTTATCACATGTCACATCCTGTTATTGTGTTACAAGCAGATTAAGTGTGATGTATCATATAAGTGTGTGTTTGTGCTTCTTTCACAAACAACAAAAAAAAAAAACTGGTTTATTTTTTTAAATAGTAGTATGCAATCGCTTACAATTAGCATACAGACGCATTACATCATCGTTATGATTTTTGTAATTCAGTAAAACGGAATTAATTCTATGACGAAACAAAAATAGTTTTTCTTTATGTAGTATTAGCCTTATTCGAAATTTAACCTAGACGCGTTGCTGTCCTGTTTTAAATTTAATAATTCATTTGAGGAAATGCAAAAAATTAAAAATTAAGAAAGAAATTCTAGCCAGGGAAGACAACCACAACGCATGTTTGTCCTGTCATTTTTTCAAAGAAATATTTGAAATAACAATGCGGATTAAACCACTGTGATTCACGCATGTAAAATTTAGCCTAGATATAGCTTTATCCAAAAGCTATCGTATTTGCAGCGAATAGTGGCAAGTAAAAACAACCGTACTGTGTTGTCGGATTTTACTTAGGCATATCGCTTATAGATCTAATATAAATCAGATATCTTATTTTATAAAGTGTAGCATAATTATATTCTTTTAAAATAAGGCATATGCCTGTAAAATAAAAAATAAAAAAAGTTAACTATGCTTGAACTGGTTTTGTTAGGAAGTTATTTGTTCAACTTCACTGCTCGAACACATTAGTGTCTGCACTTGGCTAATATATAAAAAATAAAATCGGTTTTCAGGTTAAAGTTCAGCAGACAAGGTTGCACAAAAGGTCATGACGTAGTTCCGTCCCAGTATGCATTGTTATGATGTCCGCCATTAGTCACTGGGCTAAACATTGAAAATAAAAATCATCTTGTTTTATGATTATTTCATCTGTTTTAAGCCATAAATGTTTCAAAATGTGAGAGATAATTATTTATTAGGTTATGTTTTCAGTTTTAGCGTGTATAATGAAATGGAGGTGAGTTAGTTCAAAATAAAGACTTATTTCCTGGAGTAGAATCGACGATTTGTTTTCGCCTGTTTTTCTTCACGTAGTACTTCTACCAGATCAAGCATGGCAAGTACGAAAAACGATGTTCAGTTGCCAAATAATCCTGATGTTTTAAAAAGTCAGCAGTTAAACTTAAATCAGTTGAAAATGGAATCTGTAAATGTGACGAACGTTACAAATGAAAATGATCGTAATTCCAACCTCAGTCCTTCAAAATCTGCTGATCCGGCTCGAAAGAAAACTTTTAAAATAATTAGTGTAAAAAAAGGTGGGAGTGGCAGTGGTGATTTAGCAGGCGATAATGATGGTGACAGTATTGATGGTTTGGATGAAAGTCAAACAGAAGATCTTAGTTCTGAATTTTATGACAGCTCAAAAGCTACAGATTTAGACATGGATCATGATGGTTTAATGCCCCTCACTCCAGATGAAGTGACAAGCACCACTACCATTGTTGTAAAACAAAAACCAGATCGTGATTCACAATCAAGATTTAAAGTTGTCAAGATTGAAACCAAAGAACCCTTTCGCCGTGGCAAATGGGTTTGTTATGACTTCTTTGACACAGCCCCAGCGTCAGTTGTTACATTAGAAAAAAACGGCTCTAAAATGACAGAAGACAGTATTATACATTCAGCACTTTCTGGTAACCTAAGTTCATCAAGTTCAGTGCATTATGTACATGATGTAAATGATTCTTCCAGTAATATTTATGTTACACCTTTCGTCCCAATAAGTCCTACTGGTCCTGAAGGGCAACGGATATTCTCTGATGTTTTTGTTCCCATTCAGCCGGCACCAGCTAGTCAAGTATTAAATCAGTTTGATGGACTTTCATCTGCAGATATTGTCGGACCATTTATAGCTCAGCAAGTTTTTATGTCAATGGCTGGTGTTCCTTCCTCCAGTTCCTCATTTTACAGCCTTTCCCAACCCGTAAATACAACTATAATTCAGAGTTTGCCACCTACTAATATTTTTCCATACAATGCTCATAACGGTCCGTCAAACATATATCCAAATAATGTTGCTGGACAACCTAATATAGCTGTTAGTTTGCCACCTGAAAACATCATCACACCTGGTGGTTCCATACAGACTGTCGTTTCTTCAGTAGCGCCAATATCTGTTGCGGATATTGTCAACAGCGCCCAGGACCAAAGCCAGGGTTTCGTTATGGTGAATGGTGTTCCAGTTCCACGTTCCCAGAGCCAAACACAGATTTCAGGTGTTCCTATAGCACCGATAGTGCTGCCTCCAGTCATAGAGACGCCAGGCATTGTTCCTATTGTCAGTAATGCTTGTGGTATTCAAGTTGCTAATGATATGGTCACGTCAACCACTGATATAGAGCAGATGGGCCCAGGAATGGATGAAAGCACTGGGAGTATTGCTACTCTGAAGGGTGATTCTGATGGTGCTCCACCTCAAGGCCTAGAAGAAGCTGTAGAAACAATGTACATAGGTCTAGAGAGAAATGAAGATGATGTAGATGAGAGGTATGTAATTTTTTTCTTAAAAGTTTAGTTGGCTCCAGCTGCTTAGGTTAAGGTTGAGAAGAGGTTAGATTTTTACCATGATTTTACTTCTGGATTTTAATCCTACTGATCCCTTAATCATCAAGCATGCTTGGGAATTTTTACATCGGTCTTTTTTATTTTTTATAGCTATGCCAGAAGTAAAAATAACTTATTGTTATTAGACCTACAGTGCACAATGAAAGTTTTAGTACAGTGGGATTTCACATAGGTATACAGCATAATTATGATACCTTTAGGAAACTTTGTATTAAAAAAATGTAAATACAAAGAGAACATGACAATTTAGCTTATATTGTCATGAACCTTAATTTTTAATTGAAGGCTAATTTGAAATTTAAGTAAGCGTACTTCTACTCATCTTTAGAATTTAACTTTTTAAGAATTTGAGTTGAGATCTTTTTAAACTTGTAGAATGGTGTGATCACCTTGAGTTTTTTGCTTGATAATAGTATTTGCTCATATAATACCATCCCAAAACTTTATTGCATTATGCTATTTTTAATTTTGTTTGTTGAAAATTCACAAGTTCAAGTAGGGCTTATTTATAATGAACATTTTTTAAAAATATGCATTGTTACAGGAAGATTAAATACCTATCACTTAGACCTACCCAGTAATTTTATAGAATATAGTGTGACATAAGCTTGAAGAAATTATCTTGATTAAAATATAAATAAGAATGAGAACTTTACTCATGTTTTTTTTTAAAATATTTTAGTTAGGCCTAATACATCTTAAAATACAATTTCACTAGGTAAACATATACGACTGCTGTTACTCCATACTATTTGTAATCATAGGCACTCCTAGTCCTAACATATTATGTAGTCATTTATTACAAAACTTAAAAAGCATCAGAGACAAAACAGATCTAAGCTATTAACCAAGCCACCAATAATTATTGCACAATTTTCAAACAGTACAAGCTTCTATGGGAAGTATTCCTAAATTATCTAAATAGGTTCCGTAATTTGTTTAAACCGTGTATTTTAATTTAATTGTTATGTATAAATTTGAAACAAAGTTTATACAATTCAATTAGAATCAATTGTAGATATTTCTTTTAAAAAATTGTTTATTGCTTCAAGTATATTCAAATCAGCAGATATTTAAGTAGAAATAAATAATTATGCTAACATTCAAGCTCTGTTTGAACTTATCCGTAAACCCTGGTGATTTTAGTTGAAAAACAACCTGTTATGTGTTGTTACATAATGGTTGCTTGCGATAAACAAAACCACAGACTATAGAAAATGGTTAAAATAAAAATGGCACTAGTGCTGAACACTGCGCCACGGTTTGTTTATCCTAAATTATCTGAACACATTATTATACATTACGTTGATTGATATTTCACATATATGCCCTATACTTTCATTATTATCAGTTTTCCCTTCATATAAAGAATTGTGTAGTTATCTCAGATATTCTTTTTTTTTAAAGTACAAGTATATAAATTAAAATTTATTAGTACTCAAACCTAGAGAGCTTGTGGTATATAGTTATGATTGGTACATGAAATATTATGAGAGCCCATAAATATTAGCAATAATAGCAATGTCAGAGAAGCGATAGTAAAATAATTTTATCAAACCACAAAAGAAATTCCTCTTATGTTGAACGAAAACAGCCTAAACAAAGTTTAATCAATAATTAATGTACTACAAAACACCATGCATTTATTGGAAAATGTGTAACAAAACCCAGTCACTTGTGATAAAAGCTTCATTATTTTTATTGGTGCAAATTTTGAAACCTGAGCAACAGCAAATAGTTCAAATTTAAAAAAAATGAAAATGTACAGAGATTATTTAATAAAATTTCAGAGACTTCCTTCCCCTAACTCAGCCACTAGAATCGCTTGACAGTTTGCTACATTAGTTTAATATTTATAAGCAAGTACCAAATTTTAAGTCAATTAAAATACTATATAAAAAAATGTGCTAGCCACAAATAATTTAGTTGTTACTTCACATTGATACTAAAAGGTAAATTCATCATGGATTTTCTTTTTTGATGCTACCTAAATGTAAAATCTAATTTTTCCAGGGAGCTTATAATTAAAATGTAATGAAATTTAATATTTTGTAGAGTTGTTTTATGTAGTGTGATTTTTCTATAATTTGATTTAGCAATAAACTGATAAAAAAAATGCATAGTTATTGCGCACGGACCAACTGTTATTACCTATAAAGATGCCAATCAGCTTTAAAAGTCATTGATTACTGATTAATTATTTATCATAAAAGCTCTCAATTGGGTTGCATAATTTTATTTCTCTTTTGTATGGGGGAAAATAAATGTAGTTATCTCATTTTTTATAGACATTAAAAACAAAGTTTATTAAAAATGTATAAACACTCTTATAAACTTGGTTCAACTTTGCTGTACGATATCTCTGAAAGTATTTAACACAAATTTGACGATGAACCCTGCGCTGTATACATTCTCATTTGATCTATATTTCTGACAAATTTCATGGTTGTGGTATGTAAACTCGATTAGCGTAAAAAATATTGTAACGCGTCGTCTATTTAAAGAGGGTAATTCAAAGCACAGCAGAGCGGTTCAGTAGGTCAGCGGTCTGCGCGTCATGTTTTGATTTTCAGTCCAAACTTTAAAGTCTATAGACGTCTCTATCTTAGGGGATTATAGTACATATCACATATTAATAAACTCGATTTGAGGAATATATTTTTTTTTAAAGAGAACGTATTTTTAATCTTTGTAACTTAGACATTGTATTATGCATACTTACTTTAGTGATGTGTAGATAAATATAATGCAGGTTAGGTTAGAGATAGTGTAAAGGTTAGTATTGCTATCAATGAAAATTAAGTGTCTCAGTGTAATTATTCTTTTATACCAAAGAAGAATTTCCAAATTTAACTGAAATGAGTTGTCTTAAAAGTATAAAAATATTTTTTTTTCCCACGTTTTCTTCAACTTGCTTTCTCTGTGTCTGTGTTTCTGTGTTTGTTTGTCTTTCCAATCAAATCTTGCGATCGAAATTTCTGGCACTTCCCAGTTAGTTAGCGCGCTGAAATTTTCAGGGAAGCTTTCTTTTGGATGACCATTGAATATTCAATTGTTATTATTACTTAATTGATCAATGGAAACATTTTATTGAGCATTTTAGACCGCTATATAATCTATATATATAATTCTCCTCTGCGAGCCATTAGAAAAAAAACGAGCGACGCGTACCTCGCGCGCAGTGAAGCGAACGATCCCACATCGCCACAGGCTTAGGGGCAGATAATTTAGTTTGAACCGAGTTTAAACTTACAGGAGGTAGGCCAGTTTGGGGGAGACGATATGGTCAAGTGGTTGGGCACACGATTGCTATCCCACTCGACACGGGTTCAAATCTATGTGTTAACACAACGTGTTTTTTACGAGTTGTCTTTTTACGAGTTGTCTTTTTACGAGTTGTCTTTTTACGAGTTGTCTTCGTTTACCCAAAAAAAGTGAAAAGATAAAATCGATAGCAAGATTTTAATGCAAACAAACAAAGACTAAAAACTAGAAAATAATAATCATTAAAAAAGTTCTAAAAAACCCACGTTTTCTGATTGAACTAAAAAGTAGAAAATAAACGCTATACATCACAATAATGCAAGCGATCACTCTACTATAAGCGATCAAAAACGTGGGGCGCCGTGATTTTCTTACAGTTTCTAATACTGTTGACTCTCTACAAGCTCCCTAATAAAAGTCAATAGTATTATCTAATCAACAGTAATATAACTTTTACTTCGGCGCCCCACGTTTTTCATCGCTTATAGTAGAGTGATCGCTTGTATTATTGTGATGTATAGCGTTTATTTTCTACTTTTTAGTTCAATCAGAAAACGTGGGTTTTTTAAAACTTTTTTAATGATTATTATTTAAATTTAACCATTAACCAAAAATATTTTTTGAAGTTGAAATACAGAGCAGGCAGACTTTAAGGATAGACATTTTTTTTTTTGGGAGTATGTCTGGTGTATAACTCTAACTTACTTTAAGGCTTAAAACATTAAAAAAAAAATTTTGTATAGTAGTCTTAAAAAAACTTTCTTACATTACAAAGGTTTACTGCTTTTTTTCCTATTGATTTTTTAGGAGTTCAAACCCAACATTCACAAATATTTGAACATTATTATGTAAATATAAGTTGGCACCTGTCTTATGTAAAGTCTGCAGCTTGAATAAATATATTGTACATGAGCAAACAAGATATCATGTTCATTGACATTGGCTATATCAGTGCTTCTGTAACTGCGTGATAAGAACATGGGAGGAAATCAAGTCTGATAATTTAAACTGAGGTCCTTAGCACATACTGTCCATCTCTAGATCCAAGCTTTATGTAAAAGTAAAGTAAATCTTCCCTGTCAGTCTCAGACCTAGCTGTCTATATGGCAAAGGAGTTCACAAGCTTAAGAAGAGATAGTATGGTCAGCACTATGCCCAGGAGTCTTTAATTTCCATTAGAGCTGGGTAGACTCAGGGATATCCTATAGTCCGATATTTTTTATGTAGGTGTTTGGAGCAAGGATAGAAAGGGGTTTGCATTGGAACCTAGGACACACAGTTTTTAAGCTGTGTGAAAGGCTAACAATTATGATTTTAAAAAACTAAAAGAAAATGTAGGTTGCAATTTTTAGGATTGCATTTTCACCATTATTAAATACCTTCCTCTTTTTTTTTTTAAAACAAAGAGCACATTATAAGCCTTCCCTGTTAAAGTACTTAAAAAACAATGTCATTTAGTAAGTTCTCAAACTTCACTATCTGATGGTAATTTAAAGTTGTCAATATAAATACTTAAACGGGTGTTTTGTAATGTTGCATTTGACATCCTACAAGCTTGAAGTTTAATATACGAGATTTATTGTAAAGTCTATTTTACATGCTCATGAAATTTTGACTAATGATTGACAAATAGAACCTAATCACTGCAATGCAAAAAAAAAAGAATATTAAATATTATTGCCCTAGTTAGCTATGGCTCACAATTTTGTTGCCGTAACAATATTTATCTGATTTTTTTGTAGTAAACTAGATGGGGTCTATGACAAATTCCCAAAAGACTCTCGCCCAAAGACCGTTTTTTTCCGAATGCGACAAGCAGCTGAATAGACACTTGCCAAAGTGCGACTAATGCCCAAAATGGACACTTGTCCGAAAGCGACAAATGCTCAAAAGCCGTTTGCCCAAAAAATGTTAATATTATATAATAAATTCTATTACCCAATTGACATTCTTAATCAATTCAAGTTTGACAACACAAATCTAAGCTTAAAAACAAATTTGTTGATATTTTTTAAATATAGCTTTTATATTTTGAAAATTGTGAAATTGTTATACAAATAATTTTTTATTCTTTACTAAATGTAAGATAATGTTGGCGGCAGTATCTTTACATTCTTTTGATCAATCAATGTTTTAAACACCTTGTTTAACTGACATGTTGCCGTGGTTATAACTTATATAGCGTTTATAAGTCAGTGTTGTAGGTGGTGGAGCTCCTCACAACATTGAGCAGTGGCGCGTTTGATTTATCTTGTAATGCTTAACTTGTGAGGTGATCATTTTAAAAAAGAATGAACACAGACTAGAGGGTAAATTTAAAAACTAAGGGCAGTCAGTTACTGAGATAAACAAAAATGTTGTCTTGTTTAAAAGATAGAAAAAAATATGTTTGTATACTATTTTATATAGCAAATACAAATTAATTAAGAATGTCTGCTTGGTAATAATTAATATAATTTTTTTTCCCTTTCTTTTCCCTAAGATATGAATTGATTATCAAAATTTCAAATTTTTAAATCAATTAAGCTAAGAATGACTATTTGGTAATATATAATGTTAAAATTTTTGGGCAAACAGCATTTGTCGCATTTGGGCATTTGTCCTATTCTGGCAAGTGTCTATTCAGGCATTTGCCCTGAAAGGGAAATCAGTCTTGGGGCTAATCGGCATTCGGGCAAAACTTCCGACTCCTTGCTAGATTACCCAGTTACCCTTAAGTAAATGGTCCGTCAGCCGCAACGCTTATGCACCACAAAAAATAATCCATTTATTTTGTTCACTCCGCCCCTTTTCCATGCCCTCTTCAGATACACACATTTCTGTGGGGTTTTTTTAATTAATAGAATGTAGAATTTGTGAACATATTAAAGAAACTAATATTTTACATTAAAAAGAAATTCCAGTTTTTAATAATATACCACACATGCAGCAAATATTTTAATCAGCTTATTTGTCGCTTGTCTTAAAGTGACATATTTGATGTGACTCTTTAGCTAGCATGTTAAAATAAGAAAATCATCAATTTCTTAAAATCATTAAAAATTAATATGATTGTTGGAACCTAATAGAAGTAACTAATGTTCCCTAACTTACTGCAGGTGTTCTGTTCCATGCCCACAGTCCAGATATAAATTTCAGCAAAGTAGGGACATTATACTTACTTTGAATAGTTTTACAGTAATTTAAACTTTTATACTTCATAATTGGTTAGTTTTCATCTGCTGATAAATGTGATGTTTACTGTAAATGGTAATTAATATATTTATATATAATAATAATTCTTTTAATGATAGTATTCTAAATATATTTTAATCAATTTTGTGGTTTATAAAAAGCAAGCGAGTCAGCAATAAATAAGTCGTTAAGTACCGAAGGAACACTTTTTATAAAAGCTATTGGTGAGAGAAGATAAAGTATTATATTGCAGTAAAGATTTTGGAGTGGTATGGTATACTTATCACATTATTATAGAAAATGTTTTATTTGAAGACCTCCACTTCGATTTGCATAATGTGTTTAGTTTATTACTGTTTTTAAAAAAAATGAGGATGTGTTAATTTAAATGATTTTCTATGGCAAAATACATTACCACCAGAAATTCATATAGTGTTAATCTCATACTAATGGTACTAGTATTTTAAACTGAAAAATAACTAAGTAAAAAAAATATTTTTTAAAAACCTTCCATTGTAAATTCTTTTGCAGTCCATAAAAATTAAAGGTTTTTTTTTTATAATTTGATTTTTCAAAAAGTAGTCCTAATAACACCTAGGAAATTTGAGCAAATTACTAAAGTAGTTATTAGATTGCTATTTTGTTTGTTATTCTGCTGCCACAATTTCAGTAAAACCTCGATGTCTTACTTTGATAATACTGTTTACTGGTTGTTCTGAACTGTTATAAATTTAAAACTTACACTCAAGAGTATAGTTATTGTAAAAAAAAGTTATGAGCAAACTAGTTTAAGGCTTAAGCTTCAGTGAGCTATCTCAGTTCTGGTTTTTTAAATCGAGGATTTACTTAAGGTTGAATATTTTCTGATAGATACAAGTTTTATTAGTTTTAGCACTGCTTTTGTTTACTGTTACTTTTGCAAAAGTATTAATTTGGCATGAATTTAAAGAATTAAAAAGAGTGTTGGTTTATTTTGTTTTGGAAGTTGCTACAACTTATAACTAGTTAGAACTTTTTATAAACCTAATATGTGAAATTCCACTGTTTTCTTTTCAATAAATTCCACTCATAAAAAAATATGAGTGCTAGTGTCCTTCTGTGCCACTTGTTGAAGCACAACATTATAATTCCATTACAAAATTTGTATCTTTTATGAAGGTCATTGAAGGGTTTGGGTCAGAGCTTAAGATAATTTTTTACAAATTATAAATCTGAGCAATTGTTCACTACCTTAAACAGCAAGCTTTGTTTTAGAAATAAAGTGATCACTTAATTTAATTACAATGGACAGCAAAATTCTAGCTTCTTCTCAAACCAGGTGTAAAAGCTATAACTTACACAATTTGCTTTATGTTATAGTTAAATTTTAATATTTTATTTACAGCCGATGAGACATTAAAATTATAAATAAGTTGTTGAGCAAGATATTTTTTTTGGTAGCATGTTATTTAGATACTTATGTGTTAACATTTGATATTAAATCATGCATGACTTAATTGTTGCTATGTGCATCCATTTAAAATTTTGTTGAGTAATGTAACATGGATGCCAAGACAATGCCATTTTTTTTTTAACCTGCCATCACCCTGTGCATGTTAAGTTAGCATTATTACTACATCGTTTGCTAATTGACTTTCATTTTTTTACTAGAAGCAACTTTTTTATTGGAGGTTTATGCCCATTTATTTTTTTTAAATTACATTTTTTTAATTACCTGATTTTTAAAAAACAGATATCTGCAATTATAGAAGAATCTTAATTGAATTCTTCAAGTGGCAGTCAATGTCAATTAAAGAGGGAATTATCTTTTCTTCACCTTTTCTTTTTCTATATCGAGGGAATTATCTTTTCTTCACCTTTTCTTTTTCTATATCGGTCTCAACAGATTATCTTGCAATTAACTATTGCATTAAAAAGTAATATAGAAGTAGATTTTTAAAAGGGATCAGTTTCTATTTTAAATACTTTTTATAAAAATTGGCAGTACATTTTTGTTGCTTTTGGTAGGGCCAATGTTTTGTGCTTTGTTTAAAGTCAGTATTTGTGTTAAAGTACAGTGTAATGGCACACCTCACTGTACATTTTGCTTATTCAGGAAAACAGCAGCTTCTAGGTCAACACGCATTAGGCCTACTGCATTGCCTCTAAATGTGAAAACTAGAAGCCATGGCTCGCCATTACTTGTAAGGCCCAACGCAATACCAGCTCACCTTGACGCCAGGAAACTGGACTCTCCATCTCATGCCTGGCCCAGTCCTATGCCAATCCACTTAGACTCTAGAAATGTAGACTCCCCCCTCCCCTGGCATAATGCTATGCCAGGCTACTTTGAAAACAGAAACCTGGATTCTCCTTGTAATTTTTGCTATACTCCTGTGGGGGCCAGGTCTCTCTGCTCCTCCCCTGTTCCCCCACCCTTTATGGACTTTGATCCCTTGACTTCAATGGCTGCCGGCATCTTCCCGTCCTCTTCCAACAATTTCTTTCCTTACATGAACCCAGGCAGCCACGGAATGTTCTCACAGCCTTCAGCTTTCTCCCCACTCAGCATGTCCAAGAATTCTCTAGCACCCCCCAAAGCTTCTCCCCCCTCTTCCTCACACTCTCACAAACCCAGGACCTTCGACACCCCCCCTGTGGTCATAGTGGACTCGGTGCCCCACTCGGCTCATCCCAAGTCCCTGTCCCCCGATGCTTTCCCTCGAGCTAGGTCCACACCGCCGGAGAAGAGCAACCAACATGACAATAAGATAACTGAGCTCCTTGTCTCTGCTGTTCTCCCACTGGACGAGCAACAGGCAGCCAAGGATGGGTATGTCCATTGCTTGATTTGATCCCAAACCTTCTTATTTCTTAGGCTTGAAGCTTTAATAGATTTGTGTATGGTGTGGTGATGGACTGAGTCACATCAGCACTTCACCCTTCTTCTAATCATAACCATATAATCAGAACATGACCAGTTTTTATGACCTTCAGCTTGACCTTGCTTTGGTGTTGACATCTCTAGGACTATTAATATAGTCTTCAGATTGTGTATTATTTGCATGTAAATTATCATTTTTTTTCTATGTATCAAGATGTTTTTCTTCCCTCAATCCTTACTTAAAGCATGGAACTTATGTGTAACCAGATTTTAATATGTACATAACAATAGTTGATTGCTTTTTGTTTTCATTCCCTACATGATGTGGTTCTTTTAGAAAACAGGCAGGACAACAGAATATATAAAATTAATGTGCCAGTATTTTCCTATGGGTTAATAGAAGTTATCTGGTCGTGGGTCAGAATAGGGTTACTATTCAGGGCTTGGTATATGTTCAGGGTAGCCATAGCAACAAAACTAATCGTTAATATGTTAAGTATCTGTTAATTATTATTTATATACTGCCAATCTTATTTTTTTTAAAGCAAATGTGTTGCAGGGTACTTGCGTTGTTCTGTCATGAAGCACACTGAAAATGCACCCCTCCCCTCACTCCCCCATTGCATGGAGTTCCACAAAGCATTGTTGTACACTGGTAGAGCATTAGATCCAATCTGGCACGTTGTTCTGTATCAGACACATCTGCACTTGATTGGCACATTGTCTGCTACACATGATGTTTTCTCCACTTGTGTCTGTTATCTCTGTGGATATTGTCTGTGCTTTCTGCTGTTGTTCTTAATATAGACTAGATTTTTTATTTTTATTTTTGCTCAGATGGTTTCATTTCGATTAGGCTAGGTTCCACTCTTTTAAGTTTTACTTCATTCTAAAAGAAATGTCTGAGCTCTTTAACCCTGAAAATTAAATTCTAATACATTTAGGGTTGATCAATTTCATCTAATAAAATTTTGTTTCATGTTATTGTCAATATTTGTAAGAAAAGCTAAGGTGGCATATTTTACAGAGGACAGTTATGGTGGGAAATGGGAGGAGGTGGTTCAAGGTGGTTAAAGTTTTAAGATAATTATTTAAATTTATACAAATTAGTTGGATATTTAAAAAGAAAAAACTTAACAAGTTTAATTAATTAAGATTTACTTACTAAGTTTGTTACTTTTTGTGCTCTAATAATTTTAATGAACATTAGAGAGGTTCTTATTTTTTATTTTAAAATTTGGAAATGACAAGGGCAGACTACTCATACTGCTGTATCAAATGATTTTAATATGTATTATTTCCCTTGCAGCACTATTTAAGGAAAGAAAAAAAACATTTTTCAACGAATTTTAATTACTATATTTCTGCATTCTAAAAGTATATTGGTGTTTAAAAAATTTACTTTTTGGGGATCCAGTGGTCTCTTCTACACAATTAAAATTTGTAATGTATGTGTGCGTGCGTGCGTGTGTGTGTGTGTGTGTGTGTGTGTACGCGCGCGTGTATTTTTATGTGAGATTTTCAAAGTACAACGTTCCATACAGGCTTAACAGAACATACATCAAAAGATACACATAACAAAATCCTAAATTGTGTGATTTTGTCGAGGGATTTCTTCTAAAAGAATTTGATTTAAATAAAAAATGTATCACAACATAGCCTATCTAAATATAGATCTGTATTTCTCTTGTAAAAACATGAACAGAAATAGCTGCTCTTGAAGTGTCAAATCATAATCTAGCTGTCGAAGTGTAGCGTTAAGCTGTCCTTTGTGCGCTTGTTTTTTTTTTCCTGTAAACTATTGATAAAAATGTTGGTTTGGGGTATTATTTACTTTTACCCTGCGCATGGGACGAAGTTAGACTTGTTTGTTGTCAACAAGGCTCGACTTGGGCCAACACAACATCCGCCGCGGGTTGGGTTAGTTTAATATTTTATTGGTTTCTACTAGTGATAGGCTGACAGGGAAGAGATAACGGCTTAAGTAGACCTAGGAACTGGATACACATGGGGTACAACTTTCGCTGCTCGTTAGTCAATTATTTTGGAATGCCGGACATGATGGTGGCTGTGTGCTGGATCCGCTACCCACACAGTGTGTGATGGCACTTTATTCGGTTCATGTGTGTGTTGGTTTAAAAATACATTGTGCGTGATGGTATTTGATTCAGTTCGGTGTAGACTTGTGTAGGTATTTAAAATACACACTGCGATATTTTATTCTACTATGCAGTATACATGTGTAGGTAATTAAAATACACACTGGAATATTTTATTCTGCTCGGCTTATTTGTGTGTTGGTTTTGAATTACTCCATGTGTGTGAAGGCGTTTGTGTTCGTTTAATGTGTGTTGGTTATCAAAATACCTGTTTATTTGAACGGTTTTATCTGCTGGTTTTGACGCCTACCTGTTGCCAGACCTTAGGAGACGTGCTGGAAGTGGGCTCCACCTGGAGGGATGTTGATAACGTGGATTGGATTATGTTGTGGTACTTTGAGTTTTTGTGTGTTGAAAATCGATTGATCCTGTTGATTGTCTGTGTAGCTCGGGACGGCGGTGTGTAGTGAGTCTGGCTGTGACGTACTATTGATTGACGTGTGTACTTCTAAGTACCCTTTTGTTTACGACGATGCGGCACGGTCAGCCGTGTACCACGCAGTGCGATACGGCAAGCTAGAAGCTATCTTTCACACATTGGCACAATCAGCGTGACTCACGTTTTTTTTTTCAACTGCTTTTCGTTGAAACGAACTTTAAGCTTAAGCGATTTGAACCAAATTTTTTTACTCTATTGTAACACAGACGTATTAAGTTTTCATTGTATCTTCGCACATAGAGTTATAGATTTCAACTCTACGTGCAGGGCACTGCAGGTTCTAATTTACATTTACGCTGTGGCATAGCAAGGCGTAGAGTTTAATTGTGATGAAGCCAGCCCATTGCTCACTTGGCCACGCCCACCGAGACACAGGTGTTTACATTTCTGTGATACAACCTTAAGGACTGTGTTTTTTTTGTTGTTGAGTCGATTACGTTATTAATCATCATCGGGTGATCCCAACACGCCGACATGGCATGACTAGACTTGCACCTATTTTTAGTGGTGTGTGTGTATGATTGGATTACGCTGTTTAAACAAACGCTCAGTGGATGGGCGTACGGAGCCAGATGTGGGCAATTAGCAGAGTGTTAATGTGGTCATAATGTTGATGATGAAAAGGTGGAAGGTCGTTTATCGAGATGTAGGCCTGCGTTGATTCTCCGCACTGGTTCGACAATGGAGCCGTCTGATGATATGGCACTTTTTCGCCAGCTGGTGGCGTCCGGCAGGTTTGGTGACACGAGCTCCGAGCCCCCTGTCGTCAGTTCGTCTAACCGTGCCAGGAGAACCGGTCTGGCGCTCACCCGGGCCCACACGCTGGACAACAAAATGATGTCGATTCTTGAGCACCAGGTGCTGTCCACTTCCGGCCCGCAGGTGCAGGAGTCGCAGGCGCCTGAGAACCTGGGCAGGAGGCATAGCGTGGACTCGAACATCGGCCGGGGTCGGACCCCGACTTTTGTCCGGACGTACAGGGAGGTACAGTGGAAGAGGGTGAACGAACCGATGAAGCTGTCCCGTCGCTTCTCGCTGGGTGCATGCACGCTGTGTGACCCCGACGAGAGGGAGCCGAAACGCGAGGAGGTGCCCGAGGAGCTGCACGAGTACGTCAACGGGAAACACATCATTCGGAAGAGAGTTCCGATCTTCATGACGAAGTCAGCCAACGTAAAAGGCCGGCGTTATTCTGCCGGGGATCTGGTGCCGGTGACAGGGCAGCTGTGGAACACGAAGGGGAAGTGCCTTATCATTCAGGACAACATGCCCAGGGTCGACTCGGGAGAGTCCAAGTCTACCAGCTCGGAGTTCTCTTTCACGGATAGCAGCCATGACATGACCAACGTTACAGGGGAGGGGTTTTCTGAAGAAGAGGACGAGAAGGAGTTTTACGATAGTGATGAGGATGATGTCAGTGATGGTAGTTATCGCGGCGGGAGGAGTGCCCCGCGGAAGGAGACGTGTGATAACGGTTCGTTAGTAGGACCCTCACACGTTACACCAGGCCAGGGTGAAACAGGCTGTGGTGTAGACTCGGTGAGCGTCTGCCGAGGCAGCTCAACAAATGGCCGCGATAACCCGAGTGTCGAACCCCGGAACACGCTTGATAAAGACAAGGGTGATTCAGACTCGACGGTTCATTTGGAGCTTTGGCCTATGCCGCGCAGTGGTCGGGATACCCAGCCCGTGTACCTCGTGCCGTCGGCCAACATGATTGATGACGTGACGGTACAGACTGGGGACGGGACGCTGATGCGCCTTCATCGAATGGGATACCGGTGTGGCTCATCGGAAGTGACCAGCGCCACCTGGACGTCGCCGGCCCGTTCAAACCACAGCGGTTGTCTGCCCGACAACCCGTGTAATGACAAAGGTTGTGTGATAGGGTTGGCGGTAAAGCCGAGGAACGAATATCAAAGGCAACCGAGTAGACAACTAAACGACCCTTTCGGTAAAAACCGTTCATCTTCGTCTGTTCTCGGGTCGTTTGTTGGATGCGAGGCTTGTGCTCGTTTAGAAATCAGCCTTGATTCTACGAAACCTAACTTGGATAAATCTCATCAGCTATCGAATAAGTCACCGACAGACGCTGTTCTACAGAGCTGTGGTGTTACACACAAGAAAAGTGATAGGCTAGGGCAGCAACTTTGCTCGCTGCATCTGTCACCACACTCAAGCACCTCATCCCCCAGCCGAACCGACATGCGACAGCAAGTCAAGATACCGCGAGGGACCATCTCGCAGCCCGGGGGTGCTGGAGTTAAAGGTCACGGGACATCGGTGCCTGGTCAAGGTGACGGCCGTCACGTGGTGTGGCGGTGTCTGCTAGAGTCCGTCCTATCCGAGTC